GCCGAGTCCCTGGGCATGTTTAGGGCTGAAAGATCCCGTCGTGGATGTTTTGCACGGCACTTGAGTTCTCTGGAATTAAATCCTGCACATAAATTATGCCCCGATGAGTCCCCGGATACAATTATAGAGGACGCAGAAAGTTCAGGAAAATTTGAGCAAACTCATGCAATCAGACATTGAAAACAGACACATCTATGGCCTCGTTTGTTTCAGTCTTAGACGCTTGAGGCACGATGTTTTTTTTGGAGGGGGATGAGGATATAGAGGTTGCCAACCTTTGTAGACCCGGTTTCAAATTGTTGAATCCTACTGATATTTAATACTAGCAATACTTGTTTAATTTTGAAATTTCTTGATTAAAATGTAAACTTCCTGTGGGCTGCTTTTAAAAATAATTAAAGTTACGACCCTTATAAGTTACTCTGCATCCTGTGCTAATGAATTGTAATCAAATGGGTAAGAGGTAACAGCCTGTATAAGCTTCCGGGCTGCTGTCTAAATTTGACGTCAATTGTTCCACTAAAATTGACGACCATACTTCTGAATATCGCGACTTTTTTCACTAAATTGCAACTAAGCGTCTGATACACTCGTGTTTTTTTTTAACTTCATGCACGCAGATGACGCTATATGCTCGTCATCGTGTTCACGCCTGAAATTAATTTCTAAGAACCTCACTGCTTATTGGACTTTTTGTCTGACACTGTGACACATTTTTCCCCCTTCTTCCCCTTGAACGAGGCTGTGACCGTGTCATATCTGGGTCAACCCTCTCCTCTAACTTCCGGTCCAAGATGGCGCAATCCAATTTGGACAAATTGATGAGTAAAACATGGGCGTTCCCGGCGCCATAGTGTTCGGGTCGTCTCTGAAGTGTTCAGGTGCATCGGGCAAACAAAATCGGCGGACCATTTAATGTGTACCGTCCGGTGTAATTCGACAAAAAACAGGGGTACAATCAACAGAACAATTGCAGCCCAATAGAATGTACTGATGGACTCTGGTATGAAGAATAGCTGATTACGAGTGACACAGTAGATAACGCACCCCTTTCAAATGTAATTGTGATCGATTGGAGTCATTATTGGGTTAAGATTAAGCACAAGCGGGTAACGGAGGGTATATGCGTAATACCTTAATTTGAAATGTTGAAGACATGACCGTGATGAGTAACGGAGGTCTGGTGTTTTGCAGTTATGACACAACTTGATGACGGTTGTCAGTTTCAGTTAGTGGGAAATAGACAAACACTTCACGCAGAACCTTTCATGGTGGAGATATTCTATAGCATGCGCTGTTACATGTGAACGACCCGTTCGCGTTCTGACATTGCTGTAACTCTTCGCCCCGCCTATGCATCCCATAAAATGTAAGGATACAGGCTAACGGGGAAAACTTCAACTTGGCGTATGGTTCATACGCGAAGACCTGTGATCTCAACAGAAATAGGATATGCGTGCGCGACAAACATGCACGAACATATGGGAGCGCAAGCGGTGTTTTCCCACCAGAAGGAACGGTCGTTGGTATATAAAAACACGCCCTCTAATGTTCATGCAATAGATGTAACGGATCGTCCGCTATTTTCCACAAGTATGGCCAAAATCTTTCTTGTTCCTTTTCAAAAACGTTTCTTGGAAGTTCCCTGCTGTAACGTCAGCCAAGTTCTAATAATAGGTCAAAGACATTAACTTGCGTAAACAAACAGCCGAATCTGACCAAAAGCACCCATTGTTGTCATCTGAACCGTCCAATCTCCGCCCAATCAATGAGAAGGAAACTCCCAGCGGGCTTTCTCCGCAGGCCCAGTAAGAGGATGGCAACCAAAGGGACTATTTTTATCGCGAGACAATGTAAGTCTATCCACTGATCATCTAATTTGGTTCGGGTTTAAATCGTGCAGGGCTGTCATAGTCATTTACTGATCTGCAACCAGACAGCCACCGCTCCTTAATTTTATATACACATCCCTGCGGCGCAGCGCGATGGGGAGCGTCCGGCCCCGGGCCGTGCGCCGCGAAGCTCCCGTCAACGTTTCCGAATAATGCCCGCTCGGTACGTGCTCCTCCGACCATTGAAGCTTGCATTTGGCGGTGCACTGTTGACATCCGCAGCGTTCCATGGGTTAGTTCTGCCGTTATCCCGCGTCTTGTCTCTTTCCCACAGTCGTGTTTGGAGGTCATGCGTGGTAGCCGGGATGTCAACCAATTCTTGCCTGGGCATAGTACGTGACTTTTGGAAGAAAAGGAACTTTTAATTGCTGAAGTAATCGGCTTGGTTACGTGAGTGTACAAGCAACACGCTGCGACTCTATGTTTGAAACCAAAAAGTAATCATCAGTTGCCTTGGTTTTGATTTGACTTAATAGGCTGCTAGGTTATCAACTTGCCTGTCTCTCCCAGAGACTGCTTTTAAGACAACAGCAAACCCAACGCCTACATTCACGCAGCACGATTAAACAAGTTCAGTTAAACCTTGACTGCATAAATTATTATACATGTTATGTCTAATTATGTCTGGTGTTCCAAACCTACCCTTGAATATTAATCATCTTAACTCTAACCCCCCCCTCGGGTATATGTAAATTCATACTGATATTGCGGGATTCACGACTGTTAGGGTTAATCTTTACTTTGACGAGTGAGCTGCGGGTGTTAAGTTTACCAACCTGAATTGAATGATGGAAAAACTGCTTTCACTGATTTGTGAGGCAGATTGTTCTCAGTAATAAAAGACTTAAAGATAAAGCAAGTGGTGCAGAAACCAATTTTAAAAAAAATGATCTAGATGTGGATAATCACGAACATGTCCGTGGTATGATGTTTATAGATTGTGGATACAGTAAGCAAAATGTAGCTTTACCTTCACAAATACAACACAGTTCGATTTCATGTTTTTTTTTTTCATTTCAACCACTACGTATGACTGAAATGAGCAAATTTACAAATAAACATTACTCGGCACTCGTCTCTTGTTTAAAACACGGAGGTACCTCCGTGCTCAAACCCGGTCCCTGTCGGTGTATACGAGTAGATACCGCCGCCCCGGTAACCAAGCGATAACATCGATCTCAGGAAGGAACTTTCCACCGACCGCGGCCTGAGGGAGAAGGCATGGGCCAAGTTACGCGTCTTCCCCCCTCGAGACACGACACAAAATCCAGCTTCGTGTACCGACTTGGAGATACAATTTCTCGCTCTCGTGGAACAGACAAGAGGTTCACAGTCCACCGAAGCAAAATGCCCGGCAGTAGAAGAAATTCCAGGGTAGATCCCTTATCTTGCCGATGTTAAAACCCAATTAAGTATCCCTTCTTGTAAACGATATCCTGGCTCAGGCTCTGGCGGCGTTCCTTTGAACTCTTGGCGTAAACACCAAGGATTTTGATGGGGGCTTTACGACAATTTTCAACCCATTGCCTCCGTAATGAACTTTCAAAAGTCTCTTGATAGCTCAATTATTGTTGATAAACAGACGGCAACTCAGTCCGACAAGTGGAAAGGTGGAATGTGTTGTGTCAGTAATTTTGCTTGATTATTCTCCACATACTCTGAAGCATTTTTTTAATCTCCTGTTGTAAAACTGTTGGTGACGTTTAGGAAGGAGATGGCCTTGTTTTTGTCGCAGCTATTAATGGGTCATTTCCTGCGCACTATACTTGCTGCGAAGTGAACCACTACAATTTTATTCTCGATCCAAAAGGCCAATAATGAAGGTTGACACGAGTTTTTCTAAAGAAATCAGTGCCCATCATTTCTGATCAGGAACAGTGACGAATGTAACATGGCTATGTCGCTGTCAAATGAACGGCCAGAACTCGGAGCAGTTTGCTCCTTACATTCACAATCTGAACTCGCTTCAATGTCGCTGAAATAACATTTTGGACCAAAAAAAACGCTTAAATCATACATAGCCCGCAAAGAGCAGTTCCAAAGTTAAAACAATACGAATTCTAGATCCTGATGATAACTCAAAACAGGTCCACAAATCCGAGCAGAGCTCTTGAAATGAAATACCCATCACTATGAATTAATGATTAGATCTACATTCGAAGACATTTCCAGCAAATGAAGACATTTAATGGACATCTCAGGAACTTGTTGTGACATGGAGCCAACGATCGCAGACTAGAGACTCGTTATCATCCATCACTATCAACGTCACAAGGGCATCGAACGTATAACCCTGGCTTTCAAGGAAAAAAAGTCACCCATCGCGGTTACAACAGAAACAAAAAGTATCCGGAGGTCAGAGGTCAATCTCATTGGGGCATACCTGAAATCATAAAACGGGAAGCAACAACAGTGTTGTGGGTACCGGGGGGAAAGCGGGTCAGGGCGTCTCAGCCTCGTCAGCTAAGCAAAAAAAATTCTTTGTCAAAACATCTGGTTGGCAAGGTCAGGGGTTGGCCGATACGGATAAAAGTTTCTGTCAAAACAAAACACTGCCTTTTGAATAATTATGTTAACTCTGAGGAATAAATTTGCTATGGTACCGCTTGGGTGAGGAATAATATATCTGTTATATTTGCAGTCATAGCTGAGACAAATTGCTACAACAAACCAGAGATTTTGGAGTACTTGCATAAAATACTTGTTTCAAATTATATTAAGAGAAAGCATACACCATCATCAATAATAATAAAATGGCAGCCTGTGTATAGAGGACAATTATGTAAAATCAATACGTTCCGTTATGTTGCTTCACATTCTGCAATTAAACTGCATAAAATTAAGTTGAAGTTTTTTAACAGACATTTTTAAACCACTAGACTAAGGAGGCAGTCATTAATTGCAGCAATCGTTGTAGTACACTGTTAAAATACCACCATGCGCCTTCCAAACGTTGATTGGCTGGAAGTTAAGAAGGTGTTGCTTTGTCATGCAAATTTCAGGAACAATAACACAGCAGTCCACACGGAACGCGTGCCGTGTGTTGGTTGAGTTTGAATGGCAATCGGCCGCCATTTTTCAGTTGAAAACCGAATAGTTCCTGAATGTTCAACAGGCACTGCGGGTCAACGCCTGTATATCCTTTGGAATGTGCTGTCAAAACACAACCAAATTCTTCTTTGCCGGCAGCTACAGATCCCCCGTTTCCTAAGGGGAAATGCCGGTAATTCCCAGCACCGCCACATTAGATTCAATCGTCTCCTTTTAGTGGACTGAGAGCCTGGCGTGTTTGTTTTACTGATTTGCAGCGTAATGCTGGCTGAGTTCTTGATATCCTTCAGCTTCAACTGACAGGCAGATGACTGCCCTGCTTCAATTCATCTCTTCTAATTATTCCTGGCTTGTAACAGAGGTAAGTGCGGATGTATTGCAATCAGAACAAATGCAGGACTCATAAAATTCTTAATCTGTCTTTCCCGCCATGTACTTATTCTCATTCTGTCAATACTATTTTGATTAGAAATAACTGACTGAAAATTAAAAATTTTGCTTGACAATCTGGACTTCGACAACCTCGTACCTCGCAAACCATAACTGCACGTTTTATTCCGTAGATCCATGTGCACGGTCTACTGGGAATGAGGTGCAACTTTCGTATGCAATAAAACTCGTGTGAGTGACCGTCTCAGTCTGATTGTGCAGAGACGAAATTGATTTCTCTTCCTGTGATGATGGAAGAGCCACGTGACACTCACTAGCCGTGTCTTAAAGGTTAGACGGGTACAGCACTGACAGTTGCCCCACAAAGTCAGCACGCTGTGTCTTGAGCACCAGGAATCCGAATAAAGCTACAAAATTTATAAACTATCCATCCGGTTGACAGTTGATTAAACCAGTCATTTCATCGTACAAAATCATACCAATAACTAAGAAATCTTTACCAAAGCCTCCTTTCGTATCTCGAGTGCCCGTTGCCAAACGTCAAACAAATTTATGACATTACATAGTTTCACTCACCAGTGTGCTATATAGCTTGTAGAAAAAAGTTTTCTGCGCATTTATATCAAATTGAACTCTTAATAAAGTCTGTATGTTGGCACAAATGAAAATAATTAGGCCAATCTACAGTAACTTTGTATAATATTTGCTACATTGGAAATGCTTTTTGATATCATTGGCAATGTCAGATTTTTTTAACGAATTTTTTCAAACTGGATTCGCAGACAAAGAACAGGCTCAACGGTGCTTAGGTTTTATCGAACTCTGTACCATAATGTCATTAAGTAGGCCTATATCACATTTACACGCATGAGTTGGCGTTGTGAATGGAACCATGTCCTAATGTCTAAACAAACACAGGATTATCAATAATACAAAACAGCGCCACCACGGGTTTTTAAAGATCAACTGTTGTTGTCACAGGAGGGTCACCTTTAACAGAACTGACCTACGGCAGGTCGAAAAGCCCGACTACGTCAACTTGATCTATGGCTGCAGATTTGAAAATTAGCGGGAATCAGGGCGTTCTTTATTGCTTAATAGAATGGCATGCTAAATTGCGCTTGCACGTGTTGAACCATACATCACACAGCTGTCGCCTTACACTGATTTCGCGATTTTTAAATGTCAGCTGGCTTTGTGGCTGAAACCACAAGCCCGTCTAGTAGAAACGCAGCGAGCTGACTTTAGAAAAAGTTGAGTCCATCACTAAAACGGTCTCACGACAACTTCGCAATGCTGTAGTTGGGTTGCTTATATTGATAAAGGCTTTAATTAGCTTTTGTGAGAGAAACCTGAAAGCAGAGAAGGTGCGTTCTTGGCTCTCCAGTACAAATGGAATTCCTTAAATTGTGATGGGTCCACTCGGGTGAAATTTAGTATAAAAGGCCCTGTTCAGGAATGAACATCGTCATTTCTTTCGAGGTTCCTGTTTCACGTCAGTTTCATTCCATTCCGAGTTGGCTTGTTTGGCATTATGTGCAATGGATATAATCAGTAGTACGGTCAATGGATAACGCCGGCCGAGTGGCTCAGTGAAAGGTAGGCCTACATACAGGCCCCCTACATATTGATATTTTTCATGATGTTTAATAATGTGCTTTTGAGTGTGTACTTTGTTTCAAATATTATGGATGTTGTTAGATGCTGTTTTGGACCATCAACAGGTGATATACATGTACCTTGTAACTGTGGTTTCATTGGAAATGTTGCACATATTGAGTTGCTGTAACGATTGAATCACTTCGTGCTAAGGACAACCAAGTTCTCTTATAATTAGAGTTACACCTTCCCGATATAGCGTTGCTTTTAGTATGTGATAATTATTAATTGCGTGTAGCAGCGTCTACAGTTAATCTTAATTCAACAAAAACGGATCAAATTGTTTATTGAACTCACGACGTCCCCACGGTCCCCTGGACCATATTAATAATCTTTGGAAATATAAAACATGATGTAGCCGTTCGAGTTTCCCCTGGGCATTTTTTGCAATACAGAATATTCGCAAACGAGCGTTGCAGACTTGCAGTGGTATAAAATTGAGATCAGGTTTCTTTGGACATGCACAGCTCATCTCTGATGGACTCCATGTAATGCAACTAACAGATCACCTCTTTCGGTCGCAGTTTTGTTAACTACTTTGATTTTTGAATGCAAGTTTTTTTAACGCAATGCAGTATATCAATCATTTGAAATCAATGTTTCTGATGCTAAATTCAAGTAATCCTCTTTTAAGTTACGACCCTGTAAGTCGCACGTGTCAAAATATAAACCTTTAAACCTGGACACAAGCCATTGCCAAATAGTGTATTATTGTATGTGACCCGGCAGCTGTGACCTATGAGGTAGACCGGAAGAAAGTAGGTTTGTTGACTTCGAGGGTTTGGCTTGAGCTTGGCTGCTAAGCACCTTCATGTTGTTGAAAACCGTGTTAAATTATTCCACGTACACTTGTGTAAGAAGCTTTTTGACTGTTTCAGCTAATCAGAGTTGGTAATTTCTTTCATTTGTTGATAAAATTAATCAATGCTGTAATTTCCAAACGGATACTAATGACTCAGACGCTTTGCTTTACGACCCGAGTCTCGTTCACATATTATTCATTCATACTCTCTGGCGAGATGTGTCGAAAGTGCATTGTACTGCCTTGAGAAGGAAAGTAAAAGGGGAAGAGGGAAGGGAGGGGCGACTGTGGGGGAAATACAGACCTAGTTATGGAAGTACCCTTGTATCACTTGTCACGTTTAGAAGTCCAGTAAGTGATTGTTAATCCTTCTCGATGAAATGATCTCGCGAATTCCCTTCCCTGTTTGAAATTTCCCCTCTGTGAAGAGTTTCCAACCCACAAATTACACCAGACCGATAGGACACGATGCTGGGAGTGGAGTGGGTTACAGCCCCCACCGTGTGTTGACAAATCACTCTTGGGGTCTCCCCTTGGACAGACAGCCGGGGCTGAATTGAAACATTTGCGGTCGCTTCCGCGTTACCAGGGCTTTGGAAACACCAAAAAGATGTTTGTATGGAACAGGTTATGCAGGCGGAATCACACTGACGGTGTCAACACATAGATAAGATGGACCACTACCGGTGACACACGCCGGAGCGAGCCCCGGGACTTTCCTCCTGCCCGTCTCTTTCCACTCGCTAAGCCCGGACCACAAACAGATCCGAAGTCACAGAGCGTACAGTCTGGACCAGATTCGCATCACGGAATAACGCACTAAACCACATTGTACTCCCTTGTCCCTAACGTCACGACATAACTACTCCATAGTGTTCGTGACTTCACACCCATCCGTTCTATTTTACGTTCGGTAATTCCACGAACTATGCGCGTAAATCAATTACCTTTCGCGACCGACCGACCTTTGAAAATCTGACAGCGTGTCTAATAAAAGACAGTGGGGTTGATAACCTCATGATGACGTAAAAAGGCTATAAATGAACAAAATTGGTGCTGTTTTAGTTTTTACAGTTGTCGTTTTGAAGAATGTTTTGCCTTGCCAAGTTAGATTGTGGGGAGAAGCGTTTAGGCTTCTAATTGCTACAGCTTCGTGTGTCGTTTCTGTTTGCTTTCCCGGGGAGTCACAAAAGTGGTGACTTTGCCATACGAAGAAGTGTTAAAATAACACGAACAGCATTATTGATATCTCAGCTTAGTTTGCTCTGAGTTTATAGCACTTGCGGCGCAAGCAGGCAAAAATATACTAGATTGGAGTGTGTGTCGTAAACGCGACTTCAAATATCCCCTTTCTACAAACAAGCATTACCTGTTTGCCACGTCACGTTACCTAACTACATGTATGCTTAACGTAATCTTGCAGGAATCCATTTCTCCCGGACATCAATTCAATTTCTCTCACGAGAATACACCATGCACCAAGATCTAGCGATCTCATCCACCTATTGGTCTCTTTCTTTTTAGGTTTGCTGACATCCTTTGAAAAAAGTGCTAGCCTTTCCCGACGGCATTGGCCACTGCAGGTAAAATCACACGTCCTTATTATGACGGATTAGCTCCAATTGCCGTCATTCTATTGGGCAATAGGTCACTCCGCGGTCGACCCACCGTGACACTGCAGTCCCGAACGTGCCGTGAAAATAGCTTCAATTTTGCATTTCTTCTCCTCCCCTTTGAGCGGTTTGGATGACTACATTGCAGAGGGCCATTGGAATTGATGAGTAATACAGATGTGACGGGAATAAGAACTTAAGGAAATTTTGACAAAGACATTTTTGTGTTGTTGTTTGAAGAAAATGTCACCGTTTTCAAGACTAATTTGAAGTGACATAGACCCAAAGATGCTGTTACCAATTATGAAAAAAAAAATTGTCTGGAAAAAGGTTGAATGGGCTTTTAATTCTACTTTTTAAATAAAAAAATCTGTCAAATCAAACACTGATCATACATTTCCCGGGTTATATCACCAATAACCCAGGAGATTAATAAACTAGATTGGTAGTATGTTGCAAATGGTAGTATGTTTACCGTGCACTTGAACATCACCATGAACAAGAGGAACACCAAACCTCTTTTCACAATGTGCTCAGAATCGAATCCCACAAAGTTGTTAAACGTTCCCCCCGAGTTCGGTCTCCATCAAGAGGTCCTCAACAAGTGACCTGTCCCGTTTACCAGTTGCATCAACATTCACATTATTTACGCTTGCTCGAACCTTTGAAGCATCGCAGCCTTCTTGGTCGTTTCCGTTTTGCCCACAGAAAAATTTCCAGCCACCACATCAAAACACATCCCGAAGCCAGAAGTGCCCCCGGCACTCTCGCCTCTGTGCGCGGTCCACTCGGTCTTTTTCTTTTTCTGTTCTCAGTCGATTTTGGACAACTCTGTTCGGTTGACATAAATCATCTGTGGCTAGGAATCCTGCCGCTTCCCTCTGCCATGGCCTTGCAGCAGACCTGACCCTATCTCAATTACTGCCAGCGATCACTCAATCATTGTCTGCCGAGTCGTCTTCTTTTGTGTCTGGCGATAGGCTAGCGAGCAGCATGTGCGTGTGTTTTTCTAGTCCAGACGTCCGTCGCGACTCGGCGTTGAACTTGAAGTCTTTCCGAGCACGAGAGCTGAACGGGAAGTGAAATTAGGCTGTTGGCTAACAAGAGCCTTGGATTGCTGTGATCAGGGAGACGTGAAGAGCGTCTTAATTAAGTGACTCAAGATACCATCGCGAGGGACATAAACATCCTTGGCCAACTTGACCATGGAACTCTCAACGAGTGACAATGTTTTATCGTGCAGTTTAGTTGTCACAGTAACGTTTATCTTTCATTCAAGAGTTTATATGTCTGCCAAATTACCACAGGTTTGCTTTAATTCTAGAATTGTTTAGCAGTGTTAAGCGACGAACATATAAAATGTAAAAAACGGTGCTGAATTGTGTGGTCATTTTGAAAAAGCATAATCGCTAATTCGGTCTTATGTCATATGGCCATTTTTGACATTCGCTGGATAATTACTTCATATCATCTCATGCTGAGCACAGTAACCCAAGCGGGAAGGTTGTCGTCTTCCTCGCACCGAGATTTCTCCAGAAATCTGCGGGATCTCCCGCCAGCCGGCCTTCCGTCCCTCCGACTCGCCAAGCCGTCGCTGTTCCCGCCTCGGCCGACCAGGAAACCTCGTCACACGAGGGCGCGAGAGGCGTCAGCGATGCAAAGCCGGCGTTGAGTCTCGACAGGCGGATACACACCACCGGCACCAGACGCCGCTCGCTGATATGTTACGACTGGTGCAATTTCTAGCCTGGTTCCGCTACCGCGGCGAACCAGCTGGAGTTCGATATCGCGCGCGTGGCTCCGCCATATTTTTGGAGCTCTAATAGGTTGGACCCTTGACTCTATTCCCCGTCAATCGGAAATTGTCTGACTGACTAATCGGACGTCTCTGGCCAGGCACAGTGGCGTAGCCACAATCGTAGCCACGAGAGCTTGACTGAGTACAAATATTGATAGTCCACTAAGAACTTACACTGGCTCAGTGTAAACATATTGAAACCATTTTCATATTTTCATACCTGTGGTGTTGATAACTTTCTAAATGCTCATTAACGATGTGTAAACATATAAGCCTGGGCCTATCCTTAGTTCCTGTTCGTAAATACTGTGGCCTTATTTCTACCGTGCCTGTTAATAATGTTACGGTACCAAATGCATTGGATTTAGTACGAACCCCCCATCTGCATGAAGACACAGAAGCTCTTGAAAGACCCTCAATTCAAGGTTTTTGAAATTGCTGAAATGGCAGGTATCGTGCAAAAAATCAAATAGTTGTATCAAAGATCACAGAAGGAAATGTCACTCTCGAGTCGCATAGCAGGTTTGGCATTACTATTCATAACCCATTGTTATATAGAAGATTTTCTTTGAAGGCTGAATTCTTCATTAATCTTCTAGTTATTTCTTATGCCATTGTAAAAGCTACCATGTTAGCAAGTATCTACTAGAAAATCAAACGAATTAATTGAAAAAAAAATGCAATAGAGGTTAAAAATGAAAGGTCATAGGTCAGGTAGCATTCGAGATGTGTAATCTGCATGCTTTCCCACGCACACAGGCCGAAGCATCATGCGGTAAACCAGCGGGGAATTCGAAGTAAGCTATCAAGGCTTTCAAGCCACAATTCGTCTCAGCGCCAGACGAACGGCCCAAGGGGATTCCGGTAAGAAAACCTATTGAAAATTTAGCAATTGCAAAAAACATCTTAAATTTGTGGGTAGTACGGCTGGACATTGCCAAGAGAGTTCTGGAAAAGTCTGTCAGGCCTGCCTCAACGTAAGCGTCAAGGAAATCTTTGACGTATCAAGGGGCGTGATGTGGGAATTTGGCCAGTGCGGTTGGGTTAATCTATATCTGCCACCACTAGCACTAAAAGATACACAACTACTGCCCGAAGCAAGTTGGAGGAACATATCTACCGTAAACTTAGAAGCAAGACAAACCGAGAATATTCGGGCAATGCACCACATTTGCCCCGTAGAAGAATAGTGTTATTCTCAGCCACAGATAGCTCAAAGCTTGTAAAAAATTCTATAATAATACTCGCTATCAATGGTGTAGCACAAGAGTATTTCCATGGATAACCAGTTTGTCGATGTAGATGGAAATATGAAACAAAGTCACGTATGAAAATGTCAGGTTAGTTGTGATTATCGTCTATGCTTCGGCAAGTGCTCATTAACCATCAAGGTTTACAGCTGTTTCTCCAGTCACTTTTCATAGTTAAAAGTTCAGAAAGTACAACAGACAGTGCGGAGGTATGTAGCAATACATGCAATACATGTACATGTCATGTACATTTACATGTAGGTCGAAATCTGTCCACAGCACGGGCCTGTGCTATGCTTCCCACCTTGAAATTCAACTCTTGCCTAGTCGGTCTCAAAGAGAAAAGTGACGGAGAGACCACCGAAGGTCTCGCCTGGTGCACTGCCAGCACCTTCGGCACGCCAGGACCCTCCCGATTCACGGTCCAAATATTTCCCCTTGACGCGCTAGGTGCAGATATCGCGGGGCTTCGGCCGCGTTGACGGAACAGTTCAATCGGCGCTGCCAGTTATCGAGCCAAGGGTTCCAAGGAAATTGGTATTGCCTTACAAAGATCATTATTTTCACGGCTCTTCTCTGAGCCTTTTTCCCTCTTCAGTTCTCTGTGCCTTTCCCCTCAAGCCACAAGACTCCTGTTGTGACCTCCTCTTTGCTCGTTGGGTAGCTTGTCTTTCTTCTGCCAAATCTGTGGCATTAAGAGCCCTCCCATTATCGCTTGCGGACTTGCGTCTGAAATTCCACCACCAAATGGCCAAATTGTCATGCTTCCGTGAAAGAATAGCAGGGTCTTGCTACGGGTGAATGTTATCGCTATCCGAGGGAATTTTTGTCCTTTAAGATGGGAAAGAGTACTGGTACCCTGATTAAAACAGAACTAGCGGGCATAAGAAGTTTAAGAACTGTGTGGAGTTATTGGCTGTGAGGTTTTTGTTTTTGGTACTATTACTAACAAAGCCACAAAACAAAAATGGTAAGGAACCAGTCACGCAAGTTGCAACTTCGGTACCGTGAACAATAAAAGCAAGCAATAAATGCGATATAAGTAGTGTGATACTAAAAGCAGAGACGTCTTCAGATACCCAAAACGACCGAATCATAAAAATTGATTAATGCGGGCGATTCACAATGGTGTACCTCCAACGAGTTTGCAACGCGTTGGCCCATCACAAAGCTCGAAATCTGTCGACCCTTTTCGAATGCGCATTGGGTCGACGGATATCGCGCATTGTGAGTGGCCAACGCATTGCAGACTCGCTGGAGGCGCACTATTGTGAAATGCACGTATTTCATGCCACAGTCACACTGTAGTTTTCTGATCGTGTGGCTGTGCTACGCAAATATTTGCAACGTGCCTCTATTCGTAGAGAAATCGTGTGGCCCATTCCACATAAATGTACCATAAAAACGCATGTAAAATGAGAGATGTCGATCTTCTTTGGTAACAGGGATGTTTTGTGTCTTAAGAAGCTTCTAAAATATGCTTCTAAATTTGCAACGTGCCTGCATAGAAAAGCTCATTTCACAAATTACATGTATACAGATGTGAAACTAGAGTGAGCTTTCTTTCGTTCTATGAAGGGACAAGTTTTATATCCTACAGAGCTCAGTAAGTGCCTGTGTCAAATTGAAAGTTTTACCTATTAAACTATCAGCTTCAGGTAGTCCGGTTGGTTACTCTTTTGTGTGATTAGATCATACAAATTGTGTTTTGGGAGAATTCGGAATCGGTCAGTAAAGTTGTTCAATTCCACAGATGACTGAGTCACTGATTATCTGTGACATCATCCTCCAGCAACGATGATCTACATGCAGCTTCACAGACACTTTACAAACGTTTAACACTAATTTCACAGGTTCGTCCTGTTACCTGCCCTACGCGTTTATACCAGCATTCGGTTTAAACGGTGACAGTATAAAGATTTCTCCTTAGGAATGAAGTGTCAGCTGTTTATGAAATAACCAGATCGGGAACAAGTCAACCCAAGAACTTTGTGTTGGGTCGATATTGAGTCATTGCCGACTCAGGCAACTTGTGCGATTTGGAACGCAGATACCGCGTGGCACACATCTTGCTTCAATTTTCCGTTTTATCCACATTCGAGGGATAAGAGTTGTACTTTGATTTGTCATGTCGTAAGAAGATGTGCACGTGATTGGACACTTCCTTCCTTCCATGTTTGTGACCATGACGACGGCCATTTCCAACTAATTATGAGGTATTGCGAGATATATGATTTTCCCTTGTGCGATACTGAATAATTGCTGAGACATCTTCTTGCAATTGCCATCAGAATTAAGCGGTTTCCTTGCCGAATGAACACATTCTTGGACCGGTTATATCTGAACATGAGTGCCTTCACGAAGCAGCTCTTACAACAACATGGAAACTACTGAAAGTCTGAACATAACCTCCGCAAAGAACGCATTTGTTGCCTGGATCGTTTTACATTTGTCTATATTGCAAACTAAATTAATGCTCATCTCCAGTGGCATAAAACATGAAGCATGTATTTTGAAGTCGAAAGTTACCAACTGTCATCGGATAGAAGAATATTGCAAAGTGAAATCGTGGCTTTAGAGGTGAAAAAGGAAATCATTGGACAGCTTCGTTAAGTCGTCATGCGTGATGTTATCAGCATTGAAAGGGGGCTGTCAGTATTCCAAGGTAAGCCAATACAATCGAAGTTATTTTTTAATTTTTTTTTTACTCTTACGCGTGTCGTATTTGGTTTACTTGAACATGTACACATTTCTGCTTCAGCGGTCAGCATACTACGAGACATTATCAAAGGATGATTACATAGCTCCTTGCCTTGAAGCGGGTGAAGCACTGTTTATTGATGCAGTATTTCTCGTATGTGAACTACATGTATTCAAAAAGAGATTACATGTAACACTGTTTACATGAGATTAACAAAGCAATTGAAGTTGTAGGAGACTTTCCTGTGTAAATCGGCCGGAAATTCTATTCAATGGACGGCATCCATCCCTAAAAATAATCATTCTGTGGTATTCCCGTTTAGCGAATCACGCACGTGATTTACATTTACTCATGAGTGCTTACATTTTCGGACAACATTTCTTGCCGTTGTGACTACACTAAATCTAATTTCAAAAGAAGCATGTCCGTGTTTCAAATCATTTCTTAGGGATTGACACGAATTCAATCCAGTCACTGGCAAAAATCATTATGCGAACCAACATATACCGGTGAGTCGACATGCGTGATCTTAGACAATGCACCCATGGCACAATACCTCCACAGAGTAAGGTGGAGCAAACGGACTTTCTCCTCGAGACGTACTGTTTGCGACGATCGTTGATGAACACCCTGCATGTTAGCCAGCGGGAGCATGTTTCAGTGCAAGTGCATGTGGGTTTGCACCGTCATCAGTGGCACAACTTCTCTTCATTGGAATTAATCCACCATCTGGTAATCCTATCAACCAAATATGCCTTAATAGGTGTCTTAATTATCTGTGCCTTTGACCATAATGTATTTAGTCTGACATTAGGGAGAAAGACTGCAGAGTCCATGTTTTTAGTGCCGGGTTTAGTACTAGACTGACACGAGTGTAGGGTCAATATTGACAGGCAAGATAAAATTCACAAGGCTTGAGTCGTCTTTGTTACGTTTGCCTAGTACAAATGAAGATGACCATGAAGACTTATTGCTTCTTGTTGCTATATTTTGACATTTAATGGTCGAAATGGAAACTTGTAGTAATTCACAAAATATCCATTGAGTACTCTCACTGTTAGTTAAGTTCGAGCTTCTAAAACTTTAAAGCGGCACTTGAGGCCTTGTGGCATTCATGAACGGCCGATTGTCACATGCCATTCACTGACCCGTACGCACGCACAAAATCGCTGCACAATAAATTTGTCAGCAAACCGCTCCAAACACCTCGCGCACATAGCAACACTGGACGCGAGTACTTCCTCGTGACACTGAAATTAATCATCCCTGTAAACCATGGCGAGGAATCGGGTGCCATGACACCCAAATAAAAACCAAGTACTGTTTACATCTGCAACTACAAATGTTATGCGACTTGAGAAAAAATGGAGGCCAATGTTGAGGAAACTTCGTACTTGATAAATGATCAGTTGCGGTTACTAAGTTTATGGAGGGTAACAATTCAATTCACGAGGATTTCTTGTCCATATGTCAGTGGCATAATTGGAAATGTTTCATTTCTCTTCTTGTTTAACAGTAATAAACCGCCAAATTATTGTCAGTTATATTTGTAAAAATTGCACGTAGACCCATATGACCTAAGTTAAGATCAGTTAAATAGTGCAATTTACTGTGACATGTCCCGTCGATTGAAATGCTTAACGCGTATTTTTTTTGTGCGTATATATTTTGAGATGCACGGCTGAACACTACTTCATGGAATTAGAATTTTGAGAAGAGAGATGGTAACTTACTATTGTATGCAGATAAACCGTGACTTCAGAATGAGTTGTGGTTAATGTTGGGCCATACTGTTCCATGCTCCTTCCATCCTCCACACAGAGAAGGCATAACTCAGTCTCTCATGAGCCATGTACGAACAGCTGCCGATCATCTTCTGGTCCGTCTCATCGCTCCTCAAGACTTGATACAAGAAATCAATGTACCGAGAGGCCAGCTTGAGAGTCTGGATCTTGCTGAGTTTGTCTGAAGGCAGGGTGGGGATGATTTTCCGTAGATTCGTAAAGGCGTCGTTCAGGGACTGCGTCCGCTGTCGTTCCCTCACGTTGGCCATGATACGCTGGTTCTGCAGGTCGTCGTAACTCTGGGGTGGAGAGCCCTTTCGACGGACTTTGGAGTTGGAGCAATTTCCGTTGACAGACCCTTCCTCGCTGCCGTCTGAATGTTCATCGTCATTCGAGGCCGTACCACGGCTATGGCGACGCTTTCTACCTTGCATGTACCGCTGTTTGAGTACGTCGTTACCATTCATCAGACACTCGTGGTGATGGTCCGTGGAGCTGGTGCTGTGTTTGTTCATCATACTCACCACAGAATACTGGTTGTCGGTGTGATGGTGGTGGTTGAGGTTGCTGCTGCATCGTGAGTCGTCCGGTTCCATCTTGATGGCACCGGGGACCATAGTCAGCTTCACCGGCACGGGGGTCGGCGCTGCGGCGGCCCGGTTGAAAGCTGCCGTTGTTCTCGGTGGTGTCACGGGGGAGGGAGGCGGTGGTGAACCGGCCCACTCCGTGGTCTTTGGGCCAGGAGAAGACAAGGAGCCGAAACTCGGAGCGATATATCCCTGCCCTAGCTGACAAGCTGCAAACTGCCTCTTGTGCAGTTCTTCTATAGAGTAACGAGAAATGAAGACAAATCAGAACTCTCAAGTCCGTGTACACAAAACTCAAAACTGCTGGGGTCTTGCCACGTGCTACCATTCACACACGCACGCAAGTGCAAGCAGGTCAAAACTTCAGGCTGCATGCGATGTACTGTACACTCTTCGGTGAACAGTACCTATAACTTGCATGCTACACTGTGTACATGTACATTGTATATAGCAGGATTGCTGTTCATGTATTGTACGCAATTTCCCCACAAGCCTTCCGCACAAGTACAAGTACACGTACAGCACACACCGTTGCGGTGAGTGGCGTCTACAGCGATGACCGACCGGACGGGACTCTGCCATGAATATACACCGTTACGGTAAGGGGCGTGGCTACGTTGCTTAATAGCAACAACGCAGGTGCCAATCCAATCGCTTGACAGAGCCGGCAGACGACAGCTTAGCGCATGCGCTTTGTAATGGGCAAGTGCACGATGCAGATTGACTACCGTGTGCATTGGATTAGGAGAATATCGTTACGTTGCCTGGTTGTTATTTTGGTCTTTGTTTCGAATTGTATTTTATCATGCATTCTTTCACAAAAATATTTAAATCTTTTTAACAAATGCAATCAAATTGTGAGTGAATCGATGTCTTCTTATTGGTTACAGTGTGTCCTTAGTTACCAATCTCGTTGATCTGGTAAATCTTATCCAGCTGTTCATTTTGAAAAAAAGATTTTTGAACGCTCTCACGATACGAAATCGCGGAGCATAATTGTGTATTTACGAAACAGATTCAGCCTGTCTTGTATCTGATAGGGACCTTATTATGATGTGAGCCATAAACTTGGAATGTAGTCAAAGTCCAGCAAATGAAAAAAGGTTAATCAGTGTAAGTTCATGCTTCTTCCTCTTAATTCGTTTATTCTTTTATCACCGATCACAAATTTGTAACGTCGAGGGGTTTGTCAAATCTGTAAAAATGGACACCTTGACTTCATCATTGTCTCGCATTAGCGGGACGAAAAATGTGAGTTTGATGGCTCTTGCCCTGTTTAATAGCAGCCCAGAGCCAGTCGGTCGCCCTACTTTTGGAAGAGCCTATGTGCCCTTTCAGTCTCATTCCATCATTAATTGAGTGTAGAAGTTTCCGTGAGACAAATTAGGCGGTCCAAATTCGTCAATGGTGGACGTGGACTGCACCAATTTAAAAGTGCCATGTGGATGAAACGAAACAAATGATCGTGCATAGAAAAAAATAGGAGTTGGGGTGACTCAATGAGTACTCAGTATTCTGTCTGACCGCAAATAGACACAAAAGGAAGATTAATTGACCCTAAATTAATTGACTGCTACTTACCATTCAAATAAACAACGACAATCTTAACTGTATACCGCATCGGATCACTCTGTCTTCTTTAAAGGGATTAGACCTTTTGTGTATGATTAGACCCTTGGTCTCCAAACAGAACCCTGTCCACACACAGCGTGTGCATGGTCCTTGATACGAGGAGTTAGCAGGTTCAGATGACCTTGTCTGTGTTTGAAGTCGCGTAGTCCTTTAACGTGGGACTGAATTCCATCATTTAAAAAAAAAATTATTAGTTGTAATTTATTAGTTGTTGCATAAATCTATAGAGACAAGACGATTCAAAAGACGAAGAAGAAAGCCGCTAGGCCTATTCATTAAAATGTCTCAAAGATCAAAGCAAAACAAAACGAAAACAAAAATAAAAACAACAAAGAAAAAATAAAATAAAACAACGCAAAATGTGTATTATAAATTTGCACACTTTTTGCAAAACCTTATTCTCGGTATTCTGTGTAAGGTTAAAAATAAAAGGATGATTGGGACATTTGCATTACTGCTTGTAAATATAGGTCTTTTCGTGTGAATGAATGGTAAAAATAGTCAGTTATTGTGTCCGCGGAACTGCAGCGCTATTAAGAATGATGTCGTGTATTCCTGCAAACTGTAGGGTAGCAACTTGATGGTTCAATAAGGCACCATCAAGAGGTCAAACAGTTAAAAACACTGCTGACTGGGTCCAAAGAAGCCCCAAAATACACCTGTCGGGTGGCAATTAATTAACAGGCAAGCGGGAGATTGGCCCGAAATAGCTTCTCCCCGACCGTGTGTGGCGCAACGTCGAGCCCCTGTGTAGTGAGCTGTGGTCTAACGTGCTGGTCAACACGGGACGGGGGCGCCCGTCGCTTGCCGCGGATCGCGTTGTCTCGACCTAGTCTAGTTCGGTACTTTTCCATGGGTGAACGGAAAACCACTATACCGGAAGTCATGTGTGGACAGACAGTTTCTCTAAGGACTTTCCATGGATCCTCTTGGTGTCGCTAAATCAAATTAAAGCAATCAGCTAGACCGGAATTTAGACTTCCCCGCGATCTTTTTCCTTTGAAAGCTGTTTCTGCATGCCAATTATTGTTATGAGGGTAAACAATAAGGAGTCCTTTCATGCAGAAATAGAATGACACCAGCAAACCCCACTTATCGACTTGATTCAAGATGAAACCTCACAAGCACTTCTCTGTGACGTGTTTGCAGAGCTACAATGAGATGGGTTTCTCAGTTCATGCAAAGATCGTGGTAACAAAAAAGCAGACTTCAATGCCGAGATCTCTGCATCATCGGACAAAAGAAATTGACATCTTGATGGCTGAAGATTTGACATTTCTACTGAGTTAGGCCAATTTAAGTGAAGATATTCTTAAGATAATTGTCTCAGTTTCGGGGTTCCACTAGAGTCATCATCAGGGAGTTCAAGTTCACTTTTTAGCCACTCGTTTGTTGTTAGACTGGACTTTTACAGGCGCTTTAGGGCGTATTGCACTTTATGGTATATTTAAATATCACGTTTTTTATTTCGATGTGAAAGCCGCAAATTAAGGTTTGAGATTGGAAACAAATGTTGCATCAATCAATCATTCGTTCACACGGGGGGTCTTACTCTATACCATGAATCGCCTGAAATGGAACGGTGCGTGCCATCGTTTTCCTGTGGCCCAATTGAACAATCCTACACATGCTGGTAAATCTTACGTTTTAACCATGACTATGCGTAAAACGGCTCTTGGCTGAAACTACGTAGGGCCGATAAGCGTTTCCTTCAATTATTGGGCGGGAACGTTTTACTTGCTTCCGACAAGTGCTGCCGTAAAAGGAATAATCCAGAAAAAAATCAAGTTTTTTTGAAAGTGACAAAGTAGGCGAGACACAGAAAAACATCGCCGAGCCACCACGCTTTTCGCTAAGTTTACAGAAAAAGCAGACAAACATGCATCCTCGAATTCCATTTTCGCTTGTCATTTATGTCGACAAGCTTTTCCTAAAATGAACTTCAATTTGAAGGAATTCAAATAAATTTTGCAAACTTAGTAATCATACCATTATAGAAAGTGGCACCTTCCTAAAGATTCGGATAATTATTGTAGGAATGTTGTAAATCCTCATTAATAGAGACATAATTAGAGAGTTATTTACTTCTGTCATTACAGATAAACTACATTGAAGAAGCACAGTAAGACAACCTGTAATTTACAGAAATTCGCCACAAATTGTTTCGTCTTTAATGATCACACTATACACGCACACACATCCGGTGAATCAATTAACGGAATACATGACAGGTGTAGGCCTCACCGCATAGCTGGATTTTAATATTGAGGGCTACATCAGTTGCAACCTGACAAATGACTTCTAACCAGTTGGGTGTTTGCGAAGAGGAAACACGAAATTGTCACGGGCCTGATTTTGATACATGATAGTGGAGCCGCATGCTCAATCTTTCTCTGAGGTTTAATAATTAACAAGCCATGGGTATAGCACAGCTCTATGATTCCAGGAACTAGTTTAAACTGCACCTGTGCCTCGGTACCCATACCCACTTCCCTTTACCCTATGGCCTTATTCACCATGACCTCTGTATCTCTATCGTTCTGCATATATGTTGGCAAGATTAAGGTTACCAATTAATTTTAAACGTGTAATCTTTTCCATATTCCTATTGAATTTGTTGAATTACAGTAGGTTTATAAAACGCTGTAGCTGCTTGGTTTTTCATTGGCCAGATTGAATATATGTGTTCTACGTTGAGTGGTGAAAGTTAATCAAACCGACTTTTTTACATACTTTTATACTGTTTAAAAGTTGATAAATCGCGTGCAATCAAAGACCCAGTTCATTTTATCGAGCAGCCGTAACCCAGTCCTACTTTTACAGAATCGACTGGAGTGTGTAACATTGTATGACTCATTTGCATACTCGTCTCAAATATGAACCCTCTTCCCTATTTACGGCAATCCGGTTGACCAGCATGTCAACACACCGGTACAGTACGTTTCTGATAAACCCTGCAACCCGTACTAGACGGGGAACAGCCCGATCTTGTCCCACATAGGAAAGGCATCGGAACACCGGCCCCTGCCGCGTACCATCAAGGGTACACAGCGCGCAGCACAACGGCTGAGCTCTTTATACGCAAGTACATAAAATGTGGTGTCCATTTCGGGCCACATCTGGGCGATATTTGGCCGCGGAGGAAACGGGAAGAGACGAGTCATCGCTGAAATCGAAACGTTTCGGTGTGTAAAAGGTTTAATTTGTTCACGCAAATTAATGACATACAGCGGACCCGGCGGGATATGATGTGATAGACTTGCAGCAGAGATGAGGCAGAGGGGAGATCCGCATGACAGGCCTCCACAACCCGCGTTACACTTACAGACTAGCTGCTTCAAAGAACCGCAAAGGCCAGGACTTGAGAGCTACAGCTGCACGTCTGTGCAGAAGTTCCTCGGTATAATCTTGTCCATTTATTACTTGCCTCATCGATGGGAACTTTGGTCTATTTCTGCTCATCCTTAGCTCCCTTGTGGTGCATATTATCTGCATTCCGGAATCCAGGGCTCTTTTACTTGAGCGTACTTCTGGAACAACCTTTTATAATTGCTTCTGTCAAATCTCTGTCCTCCCTCTTCTCAAATTAGGAGTCACCAGCTCC